CTATATCTCAAGATTTTACTAAGTAAATCTTATCTAACTACTTAATAGTAATTATTATTGAGACAAAAATACATATAATATTAAAATCTTAGAACTGTATCTTTCAATCTTATCAAGATATTCAACAAAAAATCTCATATAACCTAAATTATTTCTCAAAATTTGTCTATATTTGCTTAACGAAAATTGACTATATCTTAAAATTCTTCTAAGCAAACCTTATTTGATCTCTTAATAGAATTTGTTTTTAAAACCAAAATGCATATTATATTAAAATATTAGAGTCATATCTTTTGAACTCATTGAGAAAATCAACAAAACATCTCATATTAAAAAAAATTATATTATATACTACTTACTAATACTGTGATCGAAATATTCGATTATATTTTTAGGTTGGGTTTTTAAGAGAATCGTTGTTTGGACTTTATTCAGATAAGTATTTGAGGCTTCAAAATCTGCTTCTACAAGATCTTTTCGTTGTTGCTTTTATATAAAATTCAATACTAACACACTATCTATTTTAGGAGTTTATTTATTAGACTAGTTTTACTCCTAGTTTTAGTTAATTTTATTCTGATGATGTTATGTTAAATGATTCATGCGTAATAATTATATGCGTAATGATCATATGCATAACAACGTTATGCGTGACAATTTTAGACTACTGCGACCTTGATAACTTATAGTTAAATATATAAATAGTCTAAATAGATAGTTTTCAGACCAAAATAAATAATAATCTAATAAAATAAATAATAAAAAAATAAAGTAGAATTAGATAGTCATTGAATAACGGGTTCGTCGGAACATCATGATTGCCATCGTAGTTACATGATCATCATAGTGCATTAGTATCACATAATCACGTCATTCCTAGAGACGTAATAAATATGTTACACTTCCCTCTTCTTTAAAACACGAAATTCTCTGAGTAATACAAATCACCTGTGCAATATTAAGATAATCATCGTTAAAAAATTTTTATTAATACTATTTTAATTTTGCCATCTAAAAGAATTTCAAAGAAATATAGCAGGTTCCCAAGAAGGGCAGCTATAATATTTCTTTAATCGATTTATATTTATCAAATTCTTCAAGATCTTTCTTTCTGAAGTTCGTAATTTATACGTTTCAGGTGTACCGTAATTGTGGATGTAGTAAGAGCCCTTCCACTTTTCTCTCAACTTATCACCATATACCTTTTCCTTTGCAAACTCATATAACAAGACTTGATCACCAATTTTAAATTTAATAGATTTTATACCAAAGTCATAGTGTTCTTTCTGTCATCGTTGAGCTTCTTTAATATTTTCTTGAGCCTGGACTCTTTGCTAGTGTAATTGATCTGTAATTTTATAAATGTGTAGATCTAACGATTGTTCTAATGCTATTTCTGGAGTCTCTTCTTTTTCTTTTTCTTGTAATTGTAGGTCTATTGGTATTATTGCCTATCGTCCGTACATTAAATAAAAAGGATCATACTTAGTAGTATGATTTGAAAGCGTTTGATATGCAAATAGAGCTGCTAGTAACAAGATATCTCACGTTGTTTTATAATCGCCCACAAGTTTGCTAATGTAAAACATAAGGTCTTATTAAATCTTTTGGTGGGTCTATTTGTTTGTGGATGATAAATGGCGGCCAAATGATGTCGAACAGTCATGGTTTTACATAGAGCTTCTATAATTTTATTGCAAAAAGAACGTTCTTGGTCAGACAGAAGAATCCTTGAACAACCGTGACAGCAAATTATATCTTTGAAAATAAATTAAGCTATTGTGGGGGCTGTCATATCTGAGATCGCACGAGCCTCAGGCTATTTTGTTAGATATTCGGTGGCCACTATGATATAACAATTTCCAGTTTCTGTTATATTTTAAAAGGTCTGACAATATTTATACCAACTCTATCAAAGGGGGTACCAACTTGAATTGGGTACAATTCTTCATGGGGTTGAGAGGCTCCTTGCCGGTGACACACATCACAGGTTTGTATATATTCATTAATTACTTTGTACATTTGAGGCCAAAAATATTTACTTCTTGCCCTATTATAGGTTGATTCTACCTCAAAGTGTCTAGTGATAGCATCGGAATAGAGTCTATACAGAACCTTCTCTAGTTCATTTTTTTTATACGTGCAATGGTATTCTATCTATAATTTTATTTTTACAATATAGGAGATCGTTAGCGAGAAAATAATGGGCGGCTTGTTTTTTGAATACCCTTTGTTGCTTTTGATCCAAGTTGTTCGGAACTTCAGCATTTTCTAGATATGTCTTGATTTGATGGTATTGTTTTAAATCTATTTTTTTTTTTTTTTTTTAACTTATTTAATAATCTTTCTTTGGGTACTAATATAGTCTAGCTATACCGCAATATCTTTTATCTTATTTTATTTTATTTTTATTGTCTCT